TAGGGAACCTGGAAGGTTTATCATGTCATATTCACGGACAGGTATTTTTTTACACTGATTTTATAGATATTATGTAATATTTAGTGAGAATGGGTTGTAATTAAATTCATGGGAAGTTGTATATATTTTATACCGTAAGATTCCTTAGCGCCTTCGCTTAGAAAATCCTGTGAGACTCGTATAAGGGACCATGAATAGAACTTACCATAAACAGGATAGTAATATCAAGAATCGGTCTAACCTTTCAAAACAGTCGTCAGTCTAGCTATGAAAGCAATACGTGTCCCTCATTTCACTTTCATAACACCGCACAAAGAGTCGATAACCTAACGAAAGTAAATAGTAACAGTAGTATGTATATTTTTAGAGATTATAACAAGTTCTAGGAGGTTAGAAAATACGTGGTCATGATTGATCAAAGTATCTAAAGAATTAAACCTTTTATCGTGCTCAATCCACTAGCTGGAAGCTGTCAATGCTCTCTTTGGAGTAACAGTTTTAGTTGTAATGCAATATCGCTCAACTTTTTGTATCACTTTCATTTCTCGTATTGTCTCCAGGATATACGATCGACAGAGCAGGATCAGTATTCCTTCTCTGTTCTTGAGAAGGATGTTAAAGTTTTTTTCTTTTACTAAACTTACTTGTCTTGCGAGTTTCGAGGTTAGGGCTCGCGGTTAGTCATTAGTCGTGGATCATTAATCCCCTATCGAATTTATCTGCTAACTCGAGGCGCGCGGTGGTAAATCATAGCGTGGCGTTTTACGACGATACCAGGCTAACGAGCAGCCTCATTCTGTCGATGACTGTTTACGGAAAACACGGCCGACATTTCCGCACGGCATGATAAAGGAACCGTTCGATGGATTTATACTGTGTTTAAAATCGTTCCGAGTCTGGTATTAATTTCTCCAGCAATTCGATGATTCACATAAAATTGTGCAAGGAACCGCTGATTGGTTATAACCTTTACTTAGTAAGTTACAATTTGGATACTAAGAAATTATAATTTCACACCTTTGTAATGTCCTTATGAATTAAATTTCTTGGTATGAAATGTATCTTTAGCACGATTGAAGACAGAGGTTTTCAGTGAGATATCGCCTTCTATGTGTGTAAAGAAAAGGGACCGGTGAGTCCAAACGCCATCACCACATTTAAAATCGAAGCTAGTAACGTATTACCGATAGACGCAAGAAAATATGATCGATCGTGTACTTATATACATGTATATGGGTTTCGCTGTTTTTCTCGTGGAGAAGAGTAGTAGGGTTTTCTAGACTTCGATTGCCTATCCGAACAAAAACTGAACGGAAACAGGATAAGTTGCGGTGCGAACATGTGTTTTCTTGTTAGTATGAACGAAGACCTAGGTATAATCAAAAAGCTTGTAGTTAATTTAGCAGTTGAGCTGAACCTAACCTTTCAGGCAATCTGTGTGGTGTGTTTACGATGTACGAAGAGTATACGTGAACGCGTACAATGAAGATCCATGGTCGTGATAGCGAGACTGACTTTCTATTCCCATATCAGTGTCCAATCAATACGTCCCGTGTATCCAGGATTTCTACTTTATTAGAACATTGCTTTAATTAACGTCCAATTGGTGTGCGCTTGTAAATCATAAAGGGATAGTAGAGACTCCTCGTTAACTATTCTCACATACTGTTTATGGTTATTTTTATTACAGTCACAAAAAAAATGGTGGTTGCAGGTTAATCAATTTATTTAATTTGGCAAGAAAAAAACAATTTTACTTCTTCGTAGAACTGGACCAAACTGGATATACAATTAGGAGAAAGAATAGGTACAATAAATATTTTTTAACTTCATTCATCCGTACTTTTATTAAACTTTTACCATCTCTGTCTCTAAACGGCATCGGAAACGTTACAGTGTAACATTACGGAAATCACGATGTCCCATTGTCTGCCGCGCAAGATGCTTCATCGTTCGTTGGCTGTGTCGTGGCCGTGATTAACATCATTTGCAGGATCCCCCGGGAGGGGAACTCGTTAGGATCATTAAGGTTCTTACGCTCGGTACGAGCCAACGCGTCAACGCGTTTGACAGAACGTGTAATCAACAACGAGCACGACGAAGAGGTTATGGGTTCCTCCGACAATGCGTTCCAATAGGTAGTACACGTATACATAGCGTGTACTCGTTCTTGAGGACAGGCATCATACTAAAGTCCGATGAAATACGATTCATTCACCATGGTCGAAAGGAGAGGAAGAAACGATAAGGTTAGAAGGGAATTCTTGCACTCTCTCCGTAAAGCTATTTTTCAGTCGTTTTTAAACCATCAAACTCGATCACAGTTTTATCTGTCGTTCCCAGTTTTAATTTCCCTCTGCTTATCGGTGCTTGTTCCTGGAAGCTTGAAATTATCTTTGATGCGAAAAGGTAGTGTGCTGCCTGTTACGCAGATATTTATTCTAAAAAGAGAAGTGACTCTTCTTGGAGGCCGGCGCCAATTGGTAGTGGGGAAAGAAGGTAAAGGGAATAAGACAGAACGTTCCAGCGTGTTCGTCAAAATGAAGGCTTTCTATCTTACGTTCTTGTTTCGCTGTTTTTCGTGTCCCTTGCGTGTGAGTATCAGCCAATAGGGGGAGATTCGGTGGAAGTCACACGGCTTATCTGTGGGGAATCTGGCCAGGCATTTTTATCGGGATCTTGAACGTTTTACTTTAGGAAATTATAGTCTTCCGATGTTGCTTTCCATGTTATGTTTATTGGACGGAAGATTACACAGGGAAATAAAAATTGAATATCTTCGTGTCCTGATTTCCTTTTTGTCCCCCCTTTCAACTCAATGTAGGGTGGTACATATTGATGACAGTAATATCCAAGACCACTAAAAATCACAAAAAAGAATTGCTTGTTTAAAAAAATGTTAAATAACCATTTAAAATTTGAAAAAGGACATTGACTTAGACCGTTAATAGAATTATCATAAGGCAGAAATAAAATTGAAAAATATAGTTCTAATGTTAACATTTCAATTTATGCTTTGTGTACATTCGTCGTACTTACGTAACTAAAAAGAATCAAAATAATTGTTCGACCTGACTGCTCGTAAAAGTCGTTGACAAAGATAAATGCTTTTATTTTCCCCCGAAAAAGTATGCCCCTAAAAGTTCAGCCTCTGGACGCCGATTTCTTCACGTTCATCGAACCGAGAACAGAAAGGGTTAGAAGAGAAGAAGAATGTCGCTCTGCGTTGCAGGTTTCGTATGCGATCAGCAAAAACTTGAAGACCTTTGGTTCCTCTTGTCTCGGCTCCATCCGTAACTCGTTCCCTCACTCCCCAAGCTCGTCGTTTTTCTTTTGACGTATATCCCCGAATGCAGGCCGTGCAGTTTCACATGTTGTTGCATCGCTCCTCTCGCGGTTTCTTTCGCGAGATCTATTCATATGCAACCATTACTACTTCTTTCAATCGTGTTTCTTTCCATTCATAATTTCTTATAGTACTAAAAAGCGAAAACTTTAGATTTGTTCATTAATTTTGTTAACTTAATTTCTATACGATGTATAGAAATGTACAAAATTATAAGAAGATACATGGTCCAATTGAATTCGTTAATTCAGTTACACGAAATAGTCAAATTTACTAAAAATAAAAAAAATTAATTTTAATTAAAAATAAAAATTTATTTATTATTATTATATTCATTTAGTTTAATTTTATTCTACATATTTTATTTTTTCTATGTCTATTTAATTTTGCGAATT